TGTGGGGCCCAATTCGCGCCTTATAAAGGTTTAGGCGTTGAGCCGACGTCAAGTACTGTCTTTCATTGCTGAGCACACCGAGCTTAATTGAGGCCAAATAGGCCTTACTTTCCAAACCTACTTTTTTACTTTAGGAGACTAGGGCCGTGGGGCTTGCTGTTTCTTATCACTTGCTCTCCTGGTTCCCATATCTTCTGTACACCGGGTTCGGTGGAGTCCGTTGCCTATGCAAAAGGGCCAAGTAAGGCGTGTTGTAGCGCTTACCTGGAGGCGTGGAGATTGCTTCCCGAGCAGGGGTTACTTAGGCCTCTAACGCTGACAGGGCAGCAGATGTATGCAAAAGCGTTTCCGTGGGGGTTTTAGTAGATGGTGGGGTAGGGTTTAGTAAGCGCTCGTAATAGTTGACATGGGTATGCGTATACATTTACCGTGTCCGCTATGTCGTAGAATTTTTCACTAAAATTTCGTAACTAGATTAGATTACGTACATTACAGGAAGAAGTGAATGAAAGAAGACCGATTGCAGAGAATGAAAGTAACATCAACGACTTTTGTTAATAAACTACAAAAATATAAATAATGGCTGTGAGGTTAAACGTTTTTACTCTGGTAGATGCACGCAGCAGCTTTTGTTGTTGCAGAAATGGGCATGCTTGTCCGAGAAAGTACCACGGCCTCACAGATAACTGGCATGAAGTGGAAGTATTATACTTTCGCGTTTCGTCTGATGACTGAGGTAGAGCAAAACGGCTCCCAGATTTTTAATTGTTGGCAACGAAACTGCAATACGTCAGGTGTTGCAGATGTCCACGGCAGTAATCACTTAACATCAGCTGAGCCTTCTCGCTCGCCAACTTTTCACAAAAAAAAAACTTGCTATTCGAGAGCATAATTGGTTTTCCGCAACACGATGAGGTTTTTATTTTTTAGGTCAGGCTCTTACTTTAGATAGGTTTACTTATTTTACATTTTAATTTTTAACTTTAGATTTATAAACTTTCATAACAGTGACCTCTATGTTTCTCTTTTACCTAAAAATGTCTAAACACTCATAAAATACCAACCAAGGCAAGTAAGCCCTACATACAAGTATTAAATAAACACGCCATCTATAAACGGAACTAAAATTTTAACGTAATATTGCAAGATTACTTAGTGTAACATCACTTTCCTAGATGCCGCTATTTTCTCTTTAAATTCCATTAGATAATATAATGATTAGTAGCATTCTTAAACAATTTATTAAATAGTATTATTTTATTACTTTACCAAAATCTAACACCTGATTAAAAGCAAACAAAAAAAGCATGACTTCAACGATAAGTTAAAATTTATTGCTAGATGGCGCTGTAGCTCATCAAAAAAGATGACTCCGTGGCGCAGTTGCCAAAGTATTGGCTTCGGCGTCGGGGGTCGTGGGTTCGATTCCCACACGGGACAACTATTTGTGTGACCCACAGATAGTTGTTTCGCATCTGGGTGTATGTCCGCGTGAAATTTATGTTTGTAAAACGTCCTTTACAACACAGGATAATATTATCCTAAAGTAAGGGCAGTGTTTATAAAAAAAAAAAAAAAAAAAAAAAAAAATACCTCAGAAATTATTGCTATTCTTGCATTAACTGAAGCTACGCTTTCAGTCCAGAGACTACGTAATTGACTAAATGACATGGAAATGACATTGGCATGGAAAAGCTAGTTTCCACAAGTAAACTACTTACAGAAAGAAGCAATTAAGGTAAATGTCACTATTATAACGGTTATCTGCAGTTTTAAATGTGTGTCCGAATAAAGAAAGAACTCCGTTCCTTCTGTATTTTTAGGTATATTTTGAGATTATAGGCATATTTTCAAGACAGCAATGATGAATATTTGAATGCTTTCCTTAATTTAATTTACCGTTTAAACTACAGTTATTTTGGTATTGAAATTTTCATGTTCACCTTAATGCACTATCACGCATTACCTGTTATGCCGTTTGAAATCATCTTTGCACTTCGCAGGAATTTTTTTTGTCTTTTTGCATTCGGTACCAACGTGATAGGCTTTTTGTGCATTTATTTACTTTGTGTACGTATTAGTTAAAAAGAGTCTTGGGTTAATCATATCAATAAATTTTCAAAACGTAATTTTATATAACATCGCCATTGCGAGAAAAAGTGATCTATGGTACTAATACTGGAATATTCAACGGATACTTTTGTATTGTAAATCATACCTCAATTTTGCATGACGAAATCAGCAGAATACTGTACACCAAATTATGATAATTAAGATCACAATGTATTACCATATTCTGTCAATAAAGACATTCATTCATTCATGCTTATCTTTACCTATTACGGTTGCTAGCCAATAGATATATCATGGATAGAATACGTCCGACTTGACATCATCATCATCATCATCATTTCAGCCCGTTTGAGTCCAGTGCTGAACATAGGCCTCCCCCATAGACTGCCATGAATTACGATCCTGAGCCACCTGCACCCATCGACTTTCCACGGCTCCAGCGATTTTCATGAAATTTAGTATGTGCGTAGATTCGGGGGCGAAAAATCGATCTAGCTAGGTTTCATTTTTATAAAACGTCCTTTTATCCCTATTTTCAAGGAATCAAAAATATCATTCGAATATGACGGTAAATTTCTCAGCGAAAAAAATGTTATAATAGCTCGGTCGGTAATCGGGCGGCCCCAAAACAGACGGCCGTGGTTCGTATCACGATCATTTACACACTTATTTTTTTCGATTCCAGATCATTGCTTTCTTTATCTTTTATTTTTTGTCGATTTGTTATTTTATTATTATTTTCCTTTTTTTTTAAATTCTTTCTTTTGTGAAAAACACCACTTCATATTTTCTTATTATTACGTCGGTAAGATCGAAAAATATTATGCATATTTCATTTCTCAGTAATTTGTATCTAAATGTAATTTCCAAAATACATGATTTACCAAAAAAAAAATAAACCGAGCAAAGCTCTGTCCTCCAGGTACTATTATTTTAAGTAAGAGAAGGATGTCCAATCCATTTTTAATTTTTCCACAGTATTATTCATAGCTACAAATCTAACACAAATTAACCTAAATAAGAGTTCCATGACCAGCTTAGCGTGAATCACTAGAATTCTAATAGTAAGGAGTTACTGAAGGAAAAACCAAATATAATTGATTGCGAGGGATGCATCAGCATGACCTCCACTTTTAAATCCTAAAACTTGTAATGTACTTCATGTAACTATGTTCATCGAAGTGCAAGGAAACTTTTATAAGTTATTTTATGTGATAAAGTGGCAAACGAGCTGACGGTTTACCTGACGTTAAGTGATAACCGCCGCCTATGGCATTTGCAACACCCGTAGGGTTGCCAATGCATTGCAACCTTTAAATAAAGTGGGCCCCGACTACCTCACTCATCAGACAAAACGCAGAAGTTTGACACTTCTACTTGACGCCGGTATTCTGTGAGGTCGTAGTACTTACCCGGACGGACCTGCCCATTGGTGCAACATTGAACACTGTTGCGTGGCCCTACCACAGTACCGTGACTATCTTCATCTTTATTGTAGCCTGTGTCTCTGAATTGTAGTGAAGTGCAACGTGACATACCACGTCGAAACCCAGAGTTGTGTGAGAGCGAATGACTTGTGTAAATATCAAGAAAAGTGATAACCCAGCATTTTACTGAGTCCAAGTATGAAATGGAAGGCCTCCCACAAGGTGGACGGACGACCTAACTAAGATCGCAGGGACGCGTTGGATGCAGGCCGCTAACGACCGGTCGCAGTGGAAGTCAATGGGGGAGGAATATAGTTCAGCAGTGGACGTCCTACGGCTGATATGATGATGATGATGATGAAGTATGAAACGTTTGCGTTTCTTCTGATGAGTAAGGTAACCGGGACTCGCTTTTTTAATCGATGAGTTGGAGATGCATCGGTGGCAGTACACACTCACTCGCCTGCTCGCTTGAACTATTCTCAAAAAAAAATCTAAATCTACCTGTTCTATACCCAATATATATAATCAAACCATCTCTAACTAATCTGGGTCAGACATCTCCTAACGACATTTGTTATGTCACATCGCCATTTTGTCACGAGAACGTGTCGCCGCTCCACATAACTGTTACGGAACTGACATGAGCGTAAACAAAGGTGTTCCGGTTTGTAAGAAGTTGTTGTATTCAGTTGCTTTTGCTTTCGTTACGAGTCTATTTAGAGATTCGGTCAATCATATGCTGCATGGAATGCAAAGGACAATTAAAATTGGACAATGCCTATTTATTGCTATTTCGGATCATTGATAATGTTTACATTTTTTTATTAAAGTATATACAGACTAATTTAATACCAAGAAAGTAATCCCGTGTCACAAGCAGCTATCACACAATGTGATGTCACCAATTTCTGTACATCTAAACTTGGAATAACTATTTATGATACTAGATTTTTTTGAGAATATCAAAGGCCAAAAGTGAATTATATAATTATATATATTAATTATATAATATCTAGTCGTTTAATATAAAACTTGAATAAATTACTGTGTGGTGATTCAGTCTTGAAATACGTGAACTTAAATCCGGAAAATTCATTTTTATTTCGATGTTAGTTCTTCTCTAAACTGGACTGTTATTCGAACCATCGGCAGAATAAAATAATCATTTTACAAGTTTCTGCATTTACCGAAATTGGAAAACGTTTATTGTGACATTGAAAAGCCGTAAGACGATCTAAAAAGTTTCCAGCGTGTTCCGGCCGAAGAATAAAACTACAGACAAACGGAAAACAATACGCAAAATGGGCTATTGCCCACTAAGGGGCAACAACAATGGCGCCATTAGGAGATGTCATCGTGCGTGCGACAAACAAAAGCGGGTTGCGAGAGATAAAATAGCGGAGCCCACTGCGACCGGCTCAAATCCTAACGCAATCTATTGTAGACGCTACCTGCTTCCTTCACCGGCCCTCAGTTGTGCAACAGCGACGTCCCGAAATGGTTGCGATCTTCTGCGCACTCCTCTGCGCTGCGCTGGCAGCCGCGGAACATTCTGGAGCGTACTCATCGCCGCAGTACGCTAAGAAGATGTACCCGAAGAGGAATTACGACGCCAGTGCTTTCCTGCCTCGCGAGAAGCCCTCGTTAGCATTCAATAAAGAAGAGTCCATAGACAGATACGACGGCAGTGGAAACGACACCAGCCCGTACGGACGCTCTTCGTTCCTCGGCTCCGCGGGGAATTTGCTGAGCAACGCCGGCGGGCAGGTCATGTCTAGCTTGGCGAACGACTTCCTAGCGAGGTCCACTGGAAGCAGCCAGGTTGGTTTTGACTGCATTAAGCAGGTTCGTATCGCACCTTCAATCGTAGAATGGCACGCAGTCATGCATGACAAGTTCGCTTTTTTTTCCAGTTTGTTCAAACGGTCCCCGAATGTTGCACTATGAGTCATCTTATTCCAAGAACTTTAGAGTTAAGTCCTTGAGGAATGTGGACAACATTGCTCTTGTGAGTAATGTATTATGACATTCCTTAAGTCGTTTAGTAGTAGTCTACTTTTTGAGCAATTCGCCGATTCTCTCAACCTTTTTTTTTGTATTTAATATCTGCTAACTAATTCATAACACTTATCAGACATTAAAATTGCTCAACAACTAATTTAGTACATTAAACAATTAAGAACTTCAAAAGTAACGCTTAAAATTTTATTCATTTATCATATTAATGATATTGTTTACAAAGCAAACATAAATTTATCAAAACTTTTTTAATTAAATAGTAATGCAAGAAAATAAACAAATAAAATATAAGAAAAGGGAACAATTATCAAATCGCTTTGTAACGCTAAGAATTTTTGTTCCTAGGTCCTTAGTCTGAATCTGACGAACTTAGTCATCCTAGTCATCTTAAAGGCCTTAGTCTTGGCTGCCGGATTTTTTGGAGCGGGGGCTTGGAGTGGCCATCACTATGGGAGAAGTATCGATGGTACTATAAACAACATTTTATTTATTTTAACCATTAGGTTAATGGTAAATGTTTTGATGGAGTATGTGTAAGTAGCTAGTGTGTCAAGTTTTGAAGAGATATATCAGAATCTTAAGCAAATCGAGCATAGAATTTCTATTCGTCTAACTGTACAGTTAGCTTAATTTTACACGATAGCAAATACATGAGGGTTTAAAAAAACGTGTAAAAATTGCCATTAGTGTAAAAATTGCCAAATTGCTTTTAGTCATACATTATTACGATTACATAATCGCTTATATCGAGAAAATTGCATATTATACGAAACTACCTTTTTTTTTTTTTCAATTAAAACGCGTAAAATAATCTGACCTGAAGTACACAACTAATTAATGATGTTACAAATGGATAATTTCTGTGAATTACTAGAAAGTAGAACCAATCACTAAACTATCTTTGCACGAATTCTGGCCTTTGTCGAAAATCGAATACGGACGCGATCATAATATCCTAAGCGCAGAACACCGCGTTTATATTGTAAACATGTGCACAACGAAAGATTTGTTTCCACAAACTTTACCGCGACAAATGCACCGCGCCATTGTGAAGAGGCGGAACACGCCGCTAAATATGCTTTTAATTGCGCGTAAACTGCGCGCATAATAACCAGGAAGCCGAATTATCGGGCGGACAATCAACCACGTCCATCTGCCGTCGCGACTACTTAGCGACGGTCAACCCTTTGTCGTCGACACGTGGCAACGCTGACCAGTCGGAGGCTGCTGCTAATCCAATACACCTCGTGATGCGTTTGTCGTGTCCGACGCCAAGTAATCCCATTCGGCGGGGATTATCCCCTCCCCAGAGTGGACAACGTGAGTGTCCGGCTTTTGGAAAAAACTCCCGAAACGGTTCAACTTTCACGGCCAATAACAGTTAAAGTTTGAATGGTTTTTTTTCTGATAAAATGATCGAAATAAAAGCTACTATAGTGATTGTTATATCAATCATGAGAGAATAAAACACATGAGATTTAATTTGATATGAAATTTATTCATAACGTTCATGTTCGGATCGTTTTCGTTCATAAAATTAAGATTTCAAACATTAATCAGAAAATATTTAAGTGCCCTTCAAGTGTTTTTCAACTCACATCAGATCACGAAACTGCAATACGAAACGCAAAAAGAAAATAGATTTATACTAGCGGACCCGACACGGTGTTGACATCCGAAAACAAATTATAAATGAAAATATTTAACAAAATTGTAGTGGACCGAATTGTGAATCTGAACCATTCTCGAATCGACCTGAAGACACACACGTAATTTCATTAAAATCGTTCAAGCTGTTTAGGAGGAGTTCAGTGACATACACACGTACAGAAGCATTATATATATATATATATATATATATATATATATATTATGAATAAATTTCGTTATTAATAATTACTATTGCAATTAATTATTCATAATGTATGACATTTTTAACCATCATTACAATCTTAGCAAATGTAAATGTTAGCCACCTTCTTCTTTTTTGACTGAACTTTGTTCACAGAAACCCCGAACAAACTGTTCCTCACCGAGGACGAAATTCTTTTGTACCTGAGCTACTTGACCGGCCAGCATAGCAAGGACTACGGTTGCTTGTACCGTCTATCCTGCCAAAGACCTCACCAAGCTTCCCTTTACTCCTCGGGGGCTGAGCTGATGTTACAGGGAGCCAAGTTATGGCAAGGGTAAGTAATACTTGTTAATTGAATCGTAGTCTACAAAATATTTAACTATGGATATAATATTTAAAATAATATACTAAATAAACATCATAGATTATTATATAACACATATTTATAATGAACACCGCTACGACAAAAATAAAATGATAAATTAAATTAAATTTTAAATTTTATAGAGTATATGGGCTAAAATCACAAATGTCTATGATGGTGGAGACAAAGAGGATAATCTTAAATAAGAAGTCCCTACAATATTATGTAGTACTTAAATATAATTCGTGCAATGATCTTGATGCCGTCAGTGTCGGGACATAAATGAGTTATCCCAATCCAGAGTAACCAAACCCGATGGAGCCATTAAGGGACGAAGCCTAATTGTCTTTAATTCGGATTGTTGGAATTTAATATTGTTTCTACATTATACCATCGTTATGGGTGTACACTTATAAACTATTGTTTCGTAACTCATTTACGATGGACTGTTCTTATTTTATTATAAATTTTATTATATGTCCGAGAGGTCTGTTAGTGTACGTTCAAGTTATTGACAAAAATCTACCGGCATCTAAAGGTCCCGCCACTTCACAGTTGTTCCTTTTGCAGACTGTACTTTGAATAATGTGCGCAAATCACAACCTCAGTTTAAATTTTACTTCTAATACTCCTTGTAATTTGTTAAATACTCGCAAAGCAGTGACAAACTGGAAGAGAATAGAAAGTCGAAGCTACCAAATATCATATACCAAATAATTACATTAAAAATCGTGACATGGCTGTCGCGTTTCGGACTCAAAAATAAGCATAGTGAAACGTGATAGTTTATTTTTTATTAAACTTGCTTCAAATTTTCTCAACAATGACAACTACCGACTACATCAAGTAATATGTAACGAGAACGCAGTTATTACTTTACACGAACAGACAGGCTCGTACGGGGAATTACCGCAGGCTCGCAGACGATAGACGTTACGTACCTATGTAATGTATGTACTTATTACATACTACACATACTACATTGTCGTTTTAATTATGTATCGGTACGATAAAAAATTAAATTTGCATTTTCCAGAAATAGCATAGAACTGACAGAGTACGAAAACATCACCAGTGGTATCAAACAGGCCTCCGTTTGGGGAGAAGAAGGTAAACCGTGTAAACAATTATACAAGTGTGAATAAAAAAATAAGTTTGCTAAGCCCTTCCAACAACATTGTTCCGCGTGTAGTTTATGTTTAAAAACAACATGTAGATAAGAAAATTTACTGTAAGATTAGTTCAAAAGTCGATAAATTTAGAAATAAATTGTTTTCAAAAAAAGTTAACTGCCTATTATTTCCAATGTTCTTGACTGGAATGATTAATAAAACTCATAATTGACAATAAATTTTATAAATAACACGAGAATAAGTTCCGTAATTACTGTATAGGCCCATGACTTGTTGATATGTGATATAAACCAAACCCTTAAACATAAAACAATAAGTAGCTATGCTTCAATAGTCTACGGACTGAAAGCGCAAACTTCAGTTACAACAATATATAAAAAACACCAAATTAATAACTCAAAAAATGTAAAGTAAAGAGAATAGAGTTACATAGTTGTGTGTACACGATTGTTTTGGAAATTGATAAACATAATATTAGTGTCACAGTTTTTAATACTATGCAAGAATGCGTTATAAATAAACGTTGTTAAGAATGTTGATGTAAAATAAAAATTTTGCGATAAATTAATTTTTAGAAATTACAATGCAAAACGTCTTTTCTTGTGAAAATAAAGATTAATAACTGTCCAAAATGGAACCACACGACAATTTTGTGTTTTTCTTTTTTTTATGAATATTGAATTTAAAAGTGGTCTAGATTCTTATTCAAAAAAGAACCACATGATTTTTCCCTTGGAAATAGGGCATACAAAAGCAGAAAGGAACCAACTGCAATAAAGAACATTACATATAAAGCAAAACCGAACCACAGTACAACGGGACTCGATTGTTCAAACAAATAAACTATATTACTACCATGTCATTTTATACAAAACAGATCCACACATACTTGGTTCCATTATAAATTTCACAGATTTCAATTATTAACATTCATTTTTAATATACCAAATGGAACCAAGGTTCTGTGGTATCGTTATGCGTAAAATAAATTCATAATTTAATTCCTAATATTTTTTGCAAAATGGAACCACAAGCATTCGGTTCTATCATGTATAAATGCATTGTGTAAAGTAGTAGAACCACTAGTATGTAATTTTATAACGTTTTGAAACACATCATCGCCCAAAGTTACCAAATGTCATAACTTGTTAGATGCCTCTTGCCTTTAAACAGCGTAATATAGGTACCTACTCGTATACTTACTACTTTCGAAATATATAAATTCTCTCGTAAATATCTATTGGAAAAAGTCGAAGTGCACCTGAATTTATTTATCGAAACACTTGGCGTTTCTACAAAGATCAATAATACTGATTTAATTAAAGTGATATCATAGAATTATAAATATTATATGGAATAGGATGGGAAAGTGGAGGTAAGAACAAATGCAGCGACAAAATAGTTTTATACGTGAGGTGCAATTAAACCATCTTTCTGAGTATAAATCACACTATAGAAGAAGTAAGCCCGTGACCGAATATCTTATGCCAGACTTGACTTTGGACACCATGTTCGATTTAAACTGTGTACATATAGGAGAAGCTAAGAAGATCAATAAGGCAATGTATTGTTTTTATGTAAGAAGATGGCATGGGCATTTGCAACACCCGTAGGGTCGCAGATGCATTGTTACTTTTTAATAAAGTGGGCCCTGAGTACAATACTCTCAAGATGAAACGTATACTCTTCCACTTCACGCCGGTCTGTGAAGTCGTGGTACTTCCCCGGACGGCCCCACCTATTCGTGCAACAGCGAAGACTGATGCGTGGCCCATATTTAAATCTTAGACGAGTGCCTTTAACACAGATTTTTGTAACAAGTGTGATACTTTAAAATCGGAAATTAACTCCTTGTAAACCTGCTGAGAAGAAAACAGCCATAGATACAGAACGCGAAGAACATTGCCGATAATGGAAAGAGGCTCAAAATCGAAACCTGACTTTATTCTTGAAACCTGACTTTATTCTTGCTACTAAATGTAAGAAACTAGTGTCAAGTTTGATCTCTAAAACATTACTTACCATAAATGACAGCTTTGGCTGGGTTGCTTTTTTGGATAGAAAGAATGGTTGCCAAAGGTGCTTAGGAAGTAGGTCCTTGTCTTTTAAAATATATACACGAGTATATTTCTGTAGATTTCGAGGATCTAATTTTATGGACCGATTCATGTAGAGGATTCAATTTCATGTTAAAAGCATTTTTGCATCCTCATTTCACCTTCAAAAAATAACACTAACACTATTTTTATACTCGGAAATGCTACCTAACCAATGACATTGATTTCCCTCATTGAAACGGCAATAAAGAAATATCCGAGACTTATACACTTCCGATGATTATAGCCAGGTAATGAAAGATTGCATGAAAAATCACCGCTTACAGTAACAGTTATGCAAAAAACTCACATGGGAACTTATAAGGTTGAAAAAAGTATTAGTAAAAGACGTGGTATTAATAAATAATGTATTAATCGGATGTAATGTCAAAAAACATACCTGAAAATAGAATCACCTTACTCGATTTATTTTAAAAGATTTCCTTGGGAGTTCTGTAATCTTGACAAAACATTTTCCTCCCCTGTGATCGTCAAGGAAGCCAGTATCATCAGCGAAACTAGCTGATGTTCAGTTTATATTACACCTCCTGCCACTAAATGCAGAGTTTTTATAATGGTCTCAATTATAACGATGTGAATACAATAGAAGTCGATATAGATGTACTGAATAAGGTCGATTTCGAAGTTCAATTCGATGATAACGTCGAATAAAAGCTCTCTATACGTATAATTTTACATTTTTGCTGAATTAAAGCTTTATTACTATAATATAAATACATAGTTTCATTTATATCAGTAAATCCCTGGGTTGTGGTTCTTTTTTGTATATGAGAAAACCTATAAATCAGTAAATGTTAAAAGGAACCACATGCACATTTTCTTAATTATTTAGAATATTTCAGGCTGTGCAGAGCAAATTTATATATACTTACTTAAATACATAATTTACCAATAAATTAAAATAAAATAAATAGTAATTTTGTTTCTTATAACAGAGCTGCACATATTTTTGTAAATCCTGTAATATCTCAGAAGTGCGTTTTTGCTGGGTGGTTCCTTTTTGCATAAATACGGACAACTATGAGAAGCCTAATTTAGTTATCGTTCGTAATCGGATTAGCCTGACTGGTCAGAAATAATTATTATTTTATTTTTTATTTCTTTAAAACGTTGCCCTTATTTTAGAATAACATTAAATACTACAATGCTACATCTTCCATGTCGCAGTGGTCATTGGGAATTACAACCCCTTTCACACATACTAATGTAAGCAAGTTATACAAACATAAATTGACGTAAACCAACACCTAGATCCGAAACAATTATCAGTGGGTCACACAAATAGTTGTGCCGGTTGAGAATTGAACCCTCAACCCGCGACGCCAAAGCCAATACCTTGGCAACTGCGCGGCGGAGTCATCAGCAATAAATACAAATTGATGCAATTTATTTACATGAGTCCGCCTTTAAATGTAACCTTGGCGTTATTGATTTATTCTTAACCGTAAAATGATATTGGTCAAGGCGGCGAATTCGCTGCGACAACTCTCGGAGTTCTGTCTGACGGGTTCCTCAATCTCGCCGCGCGATATTCTGCATACGATACGTACCCGTCGCCATCCGAGTCGTCGTACTCCAGAGTGCGATCGACTAGATCTGGAAACGATGAAACGTGACGAATTAGCAAGGAAGTTTACTCTTTGCTTTAGTTTTACTGTGGCTGGGCCACGCAACTGCTTCAGTTGCACAAATCGGCAGGTTCGCCCGGGAGTACCACGGTCTCACAGATGCTCAGCGTGAAGTTGAAGTATTGGACTTTCGCGTTTCGTGTAGTGAGTGAGGTAGTGGGGGCCCACTTCTTTTTAAAGGGTGCCGACGTATCGGCAAGTAATAAGGTATTGCAGATGTCCATGGGCGATAATATACACTTAACATGAGTTGAAACGCCTGCTCACTTGACAACTTTGCTTCAAAAAAATAAAGAAAAAAATAGACTGCGGTAGGCTCACCCAGTTGTCATGCTGTTGCACGAATGGGCAGCTTAATCCGGGGAAATATAACGTCCCGACAGATGACCGGCAGCAATATTATAGTTTCGTATTTCATTTGGTGTACCGTGAGGTAAGCGGTTTTTGCCTACACTTCTACAACCCAATGTGGTAGATGTCCATGGGAGGCGGTAATCACTTAACATAGGGTGAAGCGCCTGTTCTTTTGTCTTCGCTTGAAAAAGCAGGAAATTTAGCTAAACTTACTACGTCCATAAAATAAGCTGATATGTTACTATGTGGAAGAGTCCACATAGTAACATATCAGCTTTTTTTGAGTAAGCTTCTATTGCACCGCAGCAATCCGGCGTGAAGTGGAATTGAAGAAGGAAGGAGAAGAAATAATAATTACTCTTTTGCGTTTCGTCTAATAAATGAGGTAGCCGATATACACGCTTAAGGTTACGTACCTGCAACCACAGATTGTATAGGTAGTTGTGGTATAAAGGTTACCAACCCATCTACAACCCCACACTACAACTATAATTATAAATAAATAACTATCGCTGTTCAATAGAACGGCCTTCATAATCATAACTTTAAAAAACATTTACCATTTGACATAACAGGAGTTGCGGCGTATTTTAAAAGGTGTATTTGAATAAGCAGTAAAAGTAATATTTAAAGTATTACCGATATAAGCCTCCAAATCGTTAGCTTCTGGTTCTATAGCAAATTCGGACTCCGAATCATGATCTTCTTCGTCTATGGTATGATACACTGCCTATAGAAAAAAAAGCTTTTTAATCTTTGCACTAACACTATTTTTAATGTTATCCTAAAAAAATTCTTTTAGTACTTGAGTATCGTTTTTTGCAATCATTATTTTAAAGTCATGTCTCGTACCCAACATGTGTTTGGATTTAGCTTCTGCTTTTAGTTAGAATAAAGGATCTTTATGACTATATTTATTTTTATTGAAACCATTTTATTTATACACATATATTAATACTAATAGGTATCTAATATGTCAGTTATAATAAATAAAACAATGACATGATACAACATAACTAGTGATGAATTGAACAAATTTCATTACATCATCATCTTAATGTCAATATCTCAACTACTAATGAGAGACGCGGCAGTTTCTCTTTCTCTGTTCGTCCCAATAATATATGTATTTTACAACATTCTCTTTAACACAACCGTACCAATCACACGTGAATCGATGACGTGCACAGACAAAAACGTTTACATTTAAATTTTAACCGAGTATAATGGAGATATTTCTATAATAAAACACGTAAATAATTTGCTTACTCGGACAATATAAAGCGATATCGTGTATACTCGTACATATTTTGTGATTACCTTCAACAATTCTAAACCATCCAATTTCGAGTTTCTGTCGAAGTCGTGGGCAGAGAAGTAGTGAAATTCAAGTTCCTCGGGCGTCATCCGTGATAGAGCCTCCGGAGTCAGAACTTTGTTGTCTTCCTCTATATGCCTGGTAAAACAATAATGCATATTAAGTCACCTATAAATGATATATAATGTTACTTACTATTAGGTATTATGACAATGAAATTTCTAAACGTGGCTTGCGGGAGGTGTATGTTGGTAGAAATTAAAACGTCTGTCGATATTAAGTCTGCCACTTGATGAATTTAAACGAAAAATTAAAAGTAAACTTATGGCTAAAGCCTATTATACTATTGCCGAATATCTTGACGACGCCAATGTGTGGGGTTAATACTGTTGATACTCACGTAGGCTAAAACAAGACTATTGTACCTGTACTATTATATTGTAAACTGATTTTTTTAAAAAAGAGCAACTGTTGAGTTTCTTGCCGGTTTCTTCTCAACAGAAACTGCTTTCCGAACCGGTGGTAACTTACGAACGTGTTAATTTCTTGTAAAATTTTGACGTTTCATAAGAACGCGCAGGCGTCTATGTGAATAAAGATATTTTATTATTATTATTATTATTAAGGGAAAGCTATTACAACCCCAACATCCGACGCTCAACGACTCAAGACACATGCTAGATAATGGAGAAATGAGGCAGGACCCACATGACGCAGGTTTGTTCTATTTAGTTTTAAAAACAATAAGTTATGCAGATTTTATTTCGGAGTTTTGAGAAAAGCTTATGGTTTGTTCTTGACGGGAATCCGGCGACTTCACACATTTCTATTTTATATTTACTTTAACCATATCACTTAATTTTGAAAATAATTTCGCTTACTAAAACGGTACGTTTAAAATTTAAAAGAGCAAGCTCTCGACATCAGCCCAGTTGACTTTGACACCGCAGGTCGAGGGTTCGATTACTTTCCGGCACACGTATTTCTATGTAATATACCTGCAGATAGTTGTCCCGGATGTTTGTGTTTGTCTTTATTTAATTTTTATTTAAACGCATCAAAATTATCTTCTTTTTCTTTTTTTGTATGTGGGAGGAAATCGTCGATAGATGCTCGTGCCCTGGCGTAGTACAAGATTATGTGAGATTTCTTCCCACTAAATGCCCCTCCGTAAAGATTATCTTATCTCATAGTAACGGTAACGTTTCAATTAAGATAATGTGACTCACTTTACGTCGTGCAATACTCCAGTCTCGCCAATCAATGATTCACCGCCCCGCGGCCTGTGGTGGTGATGTTTGCTCTTCGAGGACTGACCCTGCGGGTGGTGGGGTCCACGGCGCATGCCAGACGCCAGTGTGTTGAGTAGTAAAACGAAGCTAACTGAAATTTTGACGTAATACAATGGAACGATTACTGCAATTTAGACCGATCTCTTTGTTTTGAAGGCGATTATAAGTAAAATATTACAGACGTCATTAGTCATGTAACCGAAAAAGGAATGTGTACCATCTATATTTTCCCTTGCCGCTAACAAAATAATGAGAAAAAAAGGCTTGACTAGTACCGACGCTAGTTTCTTAACACTGATCATCTAGAAGTTAACTAATCTTAAGAAAGACATTTGTCTTTCTTCAAAATTGACCTAAACACAATTTGAAAATTGTAAACAACGAGCGCGTTCCGTCGCCTTTTTGCGGCTATCGCACTGGCCGGGCGCGACGAGGGCGCGTGCTCTCATTTTTTTTAACGCACGCGTTCTCAATTTAAACAACAATCGACAAATACGGATACAATTCGGGCGACATTTTGGAGAGCAGCGCCGAGAGCGCTACCTGCGCGTAATTGGGGGGCATTGTAGTCCGTTATAAAGGGTAAGGCAACCGGACAGCTGGGGCGCTATCCCCATGGGGTCGTTGCCTGCGGAGAAGCATACCCCGCGGAGATGCAATATTCACACCTCATTTCACAACTACCCCGTCTATTACGTTTGTCATTGCCCATAAAATGGCGGGATTTCGGCTTGGATTGGATTTTAGATTGATAATTGAACTGGAGAACTCTCTTGTTTAAGTATTGAATGATATAGGATGATTTGGAAATGAAAACTTCTATGGGCAATTTTAGATGGGGAAAATAAATAGGTTCGCGTCATCGACATATTAATATCACGTGAACTCTGTAAAACAAATTTCTAGTTGTTGACTGCTTATTTTTTCCAATACTTGTAGTCATAATAATAGCATTTACTAGATATTCTAGAAACCAAAACACGAAAACACAAGATGCGTTGATTTGGTGCGCTAAGATAACGAATAAACTTTGTTTTTAATACCCACTGATGTAAACCAACTGTTATATTTACTATTAAAAAAAAACAGAAAAGCGGACTGAAATTGTGCACTAATATTTTTTTATCATATAAAGTTTAAACGAATTAAACTTTTCCTAAAAAGGTGATACGGCTTCTTCTAACTTAACAGGAAAACGAATCGGCGAGTGCTGATTAGTAACGTATATTATGGTTATTATCCATATCAACAAAGAGGATACAGCCCTCTACAAATTCAAAACAATACACCCGAATTACATGTCATACGATGAACAAACAGGTGCCCAACAGCGCCCTTAAAATGTATTACAGTTCATTTTCAATATTTCGAATGAATAATTTATTCGCCTGCGTCCCCTTCCCGCTAGATCGAACAGTTGTTGCATCGGTCGGAAAGACGAGACCAATCTTTAATCGGACCCCACTTTATTATAGAGTACAGTGTATAAAATAAAGCCATAATGGAGGACAAATTATGCGCCTGTAGTGACAAGTGCGCGCTCCGTATGTCAGGGTGTCCGTCACAAGCGCCAACGAACAGTATTGGGACACACGGATGCAACGTTCGGTCAACAAAATATAAATCTAAGAAACGAGGTGATTACTGGTATTGTTATTTAACTATTAACAAAGAACTAGCCAATGTCTTTTGTCTAAGTATTTATATGGAGAATAAAATTCAAAAATAATGCAAAAAACGAGGTTCGCATGAGAAAGGTGGGAAAATATATTTCATTTATTTTTATAAAAACGCACGCAGTAGGAAATAAATCGTAAAAAAATATGTATAATACTTTTGATTAGAAAAATAAATATTTATCCTATTATGTATTATTCCTAATAAGGTCTCGCAAACTATACTAAAAAACTATTTTACTAAAATCACACGCACAAAGTAAATTTAGAATCTGACCATCAATATAAGAAGCTAACAAGAACACAGATGTTTTACCCGTTTGTGGAATAAACTCATAACACGGCGCAAAATAGCAGGTAGCAAAATGCCCATCTAAACCATTTAACACTAGATAATAAAGATTTACAAATCATTCATTCTTATGTCAAGTGTGTCACGCATCTGTGCCTACATGGCTCAAAAATGGGGCGACTTCGCTACGCAGCCCATCGTATTATCGTTCGATAACACCCTAATACTATGCGATTACAATGGATCCCTTGTACAGCGGGTCACGAATTCCTTTATTGCATACAACACTACGGTTACATTTGCCCAAAAGCAGACAGCATCAAATGAGATTATTAGGAAAAATCCCGACACCTACATACTGGCCACAAAAAGAACAACGACGTCCTACAATAGTGTTTGATCCAAGTTTAGGAAGGAATTAAAATTTCGTGTTCAGTGGAATCTACAATAGAACACTATCTAAAAAGCTGTTAATATTTTCTATAAACAACCTGTGTTTTGTGATACTTAGTAATTTGACTATATACTGTTATATCTAATACCATAAACATTTATGATGAAATTAACGAAAATAAGTATCATACGGTATTTGAAGTAAGACAAGACTGTCCTCGGGACAGGTAAAAAAAAGCTAGCGTACAGTAATATATCAATCAATGATTATATCATATGGTTTATTTACAAACATTCGTATCGCTTTAAATTACATTATTAAATAATTGATAAGTATGGTTCTTTTTGACGGTCAAATAATATGCCTTTTTGATTGAAACATCGATAGATGGTTAAAAAAATTTAATAAACGTGTTGTAATTCGAAACACTTTCATTTAATTTTTTCTAAGAATTTGTTTTTTTAAACAAAAACATTTTATTTAAGTATATAAAATTAATATTCGTAAATAAAATCATATATATTTTTAAAACCTTATAAGAAAACGATACTTACGTACTACTTTCATCTTCCCACTATCGAATAAAACCTTTTTTGTTATTGTTTATTGCTAAAAATGGACCATTTTCTTCAATGTTCAACACCACAGCGCCTGTCAAACCTGAAATAAGAAATCAATGTTACAGCGCAGGCGCTTAGAATATAAATCAATTTAAACCGTAACTGTACGACACCAAGTCTGATATTGCAAAAGCATTTTCGACGTTTTTTGCGCATGGCATTTAAGGAACACGGAACGGAAGCCAAGAATATTCCAAAAAGAAAACCTAGATGGCTCTCTCGGCGAAACGAATCAGCGTTTTAAAATAACAATTAGTTTCTTCCCATTCTTTCCCACTTTAATTAGTCTGTTTCCTATGAAGATTAAAAAAAGATTAGCTAAAGGCAGCTAGTTGTGGGTACCTGATATGTTTAAATTTTCCCATTGACAGTAACGTTAAACCCATGTCATATCATTAACCTTAATATGTATGTGTGTTGTATTAAATATGTAGTATGCTTGTCAATTATTCATTATATAAAGTTGAAAATATCATAGCAATCGTGTTTCAAAAACTTCACCAGCCAAAATTGTATGCGCTTTCATAAGATTTTGTGTAAATGCGTTAGTGAATTATCATCTCTATTCAGCTTAATTATTATCTTCGAATATCAAACCATTAGGACTACATCCCAAACCTGGAAATAATTGGTTGACAAAGAGGCCATACATTTTACCCAATAAATTATTATTAATTTTGTAAGAAATTATTGAATTAGCTTCATTATCGCGTCCAAAACGATCTGAGGGTCACAAATCATTTTTGCACCATAACTTGGAATCAAATATGACAAATCTAAGCAAAATATTTATTAAACGTAAACGTACTCGTCAACAACTTCGAGCTCAGTGCTCCCAACAATAACCGGTATAGGCGTGACATGGACATTAGACATGATCTTCGTCTTGTCCATGTTCATCTTAAGGCCCACCCGTTAGGAGACACTGTTGAGGTCATTGAGCATAGCAACCAGGTCCTCCAGCGATTCTGCCATGATGACTATATCGTCGGCAAATCGAAGGTGGGTGATGTATTCGCCATTGATGTTAATACCTCGTCCTTTCCAGTCCAGAAGCTTCAAAACATCTTCCAATCGCAACGCAATCCTCCTCTCTCCGGGTGCAATGATATCCTATCGAGCCCTCCGCGGGGCAGCAGTTAATTCCACATCTGCCATCCCGGGGCTTGCTATCAGGGTTGCGCGAGTAGGCCAGACTCCTGCTAGTTGCCTCCCTTTCTCTCTCCGCAGCCTCCTTCTGGGTGATTATGTTCACCATAGCCCGAACCACGGCGGGCAGCGAGGGGTCATGCCCCACGATAGCCCTCAGCTCTTGGCGCTGCTCCCGCCAGGCTAGGCATCGCATAGCCAACATTTCTTTAGCATGTTGGTACGTCCAATAACGGTTCTCATGGCATGCGCATTGTTTATATACTGATGTAAACAATGCACATGCCATGAGAACTATATTTTGAGTTAGCCCATAGATCTCTATGCGTTATGTGACTAATAATGGTTTGCATATAATAATATCTCAAGCTTACGCGAATACAAATACTTAACAGAATTTTTTCAAAATTTATTTTAATTTAGTTTCATATGTTTCGACAGACTCCATGCTTACGAGACCGACGAAGACCGTTTGTCGTGTAAATATAAAGTTAGTCCTGGGTAACGTCAACTTTTAAAATTTTTTTTTTCCAATCTCCGCAGAATGAATTTACATCTTGGAGTCTTGAATGTTATGAATGTATGTCTTAATAGTTTTGGAATGCTTGCATTAAATTTTATTAATTATTTATGAACCCAAGGTGGTGGTAGAGTCCAGTTATCTTCTCTATTGAAATTAGGATGTCATCGGGTGTAGCAGATACCCATTGGCGGCGGTATTTACTAAACATCAGGTGAACCGCATGCTCGCTTGGCAAGTTTTCACATAAAAAACAATCTGTATTATTACGATTTCGATTGATTAAAAAATCAATACTTTAAAACCGCTAAAGAGTTCCGTTTCCTCTAGTTCCACGGTAAATTCTAGAATTTATGGAGTTTAAGTGTTTTAGAAATATATTGTATGGTAATATTGTAAAAGGTATCATCAATGTACTGCTGTAAAATCTTGATGTAGTTGGAAGGGTCTTCGCCTCAAAGTTTTGCAAACATAAATCAGTAGCAATAGGGAGTACTAGGTAACCGTAGCCGGAGGTGTTTTAAAATACTTTAACAATAAGATTACTACGATATCTTGTTATCACTTTTTTTAAACACTGCCCTTACATTACAACAACATTATCCTGTGTTGTAAAGACTTTTTACAAATATAAATTTCACGTGGACAAACACCCAAATGCGAAACAACTATCTGTGGGTCAACTATAACACAAACAATTGTCGCTTATATAAAAGGGAAATTCCTATTTCGTGATTAATTCATTAAAAAATCGGTCGAACGGTCAAAAAAAATATTGTGCTGTTTATGTATATTAACATCGACAAACATAGACATGAACAATGATAGACAGTATTTTCATAAGATTTATAGATAAATCTAATAATTTAAATTTGTTATTGATGTTTCGCGCTTGAAAACTGTTTATATTTTTTTATTTTGCAATTAAGGTACTAGCCGTATTTTTAACGTGGATACAGACTTGCGATGTAAGCAATCGCTGATCAAGCTATTGACGCCGATGAAAGATGAGATGGAATCCAATTTAATCCAATTCACAGTATTCAACATGAACACACGCGTAATTTAATTTTCGACAGGGTTGTCATGCGACATTTTTTAAATATATGTATATTTTCTGTCGAATTTTTTGGTAAGTAAATATATTTTTGTGTATTGTTTTCTACTATAAGATATTTCATTTTTTAAAGATTTATCAAATAAAGTAAATCTTTATAGATAAAATTCTTATGTGCGTGAATATGTGACTTAACTCTTCCTCAACGGTTGGAACGATTTTTATGAAATTTTTGTGTGTGTGTGAAGTGGATTCGAGAATGGCTTAGATTCACAAATTCAAAACATTCACGGATTCGAAATTGAGACATGTGTACAGGATCGTTTTGTTTACAATTAATGGGTATTCTTGTTGTAGTCTGATACCGCCACCTAATTATTTAATTGCACTGAAATTAACAATATAAATAATTTAAAACATTTTCTTTACTCCATAGCGCAGTTGCCAAGGTATTTATTGGCTTCAGCGCCATGGGGTCGGGGGTTCGAATCTCACACAGGACAACTAATTGTGTGACACACAGGTAATTTCTTTTGATCTTTGCTTTTGTCTACTTGAAATATGTGTACCTAAAATGTACTTACAATACAGGATAATATTGTCCTACAGTTAGGGTAATGTTTTATGTTTTCAAACTAAAACAAATTAAATTCTTTGAATAGCTATGTGATAGATATGTAGTAAAATACATTAAGAACAGTAAAAGAATGACATAAATATGATTAAGGTTTTTTTTTTTATGTATAACACAAAGCTATCCACAATCGATGGATGCAGGTGGCTAAGGATTATGATTCGTGGCTGTGTGTAGGGCAGGCCTATGTTCAGGAGTGGACTCCCAGGCTGAAATGATGATGATGGTGATTAACAATGTAAAGTATTCTCAGAGCGTTGATTTGATAACGTACATCACATCCAAATCCTTTTCTGTGGAAGCTGTTCGGCTCTGGAACTCTCTCCCACTACATATTAGGCGGGCACAATCCCTACGTATTTTCAAGCGACTTTTAGAAAACATTTTATACCTCCTTAATCATTGTGTTCCATTCCTCGATGTTGTCAACTTATATCTAAATACTTATACATTATTTATGACGTATATACATATATATATATCGTGTTTGCATGTGTATTTATGTATAATTTATTAATATGTATTTATATTTTGACTTATAAGTTTCTCTTATTAATTCAGTGTACACCGTTACCCAATGCTACTGTTTTTACTATTTCCTTTTACTAGGTTGCCTGGAAGAAATCGCTTCTTAGCGATAAGGCCGCCTATTGTACAGTTTTGTATTATTTTAGTTGATTCTTCAATATTCGTTGGTTGTGTACAATAAAGTATATTTCATTCATTCATTCATTCATCAGATTTGCAAAAAAGTGTAATGTATATTAGTAAAAAAGTATTTAATTAACCACATTTACTTTTCTTATAAAAAAATAATATATCTTTTGGCAATGTCAGGGTTACCAGCTTTTACACAGTTGCGATACTAGATGAAACGTTGCTATTATTAATTTTGTTATTTATTAATATTAATTTATCTGAAGAAAATTAAATAAAAAGACGCGAACTTTACAAATATATTTATTTGGATTGTTCGTAAATAACTATTGACTGTGATCAAGTATTCAGTTTTAATCAAATTAAAAAATGAAGAGATTGGGAAAGAAAGAGAAAACAAGAAAAAAAGAGAAAAAGTGTGTACATAAAAAGAATAGGTTTTTAAATGATTACTTAATCTTTTTTACCGTTACTTTAGAATGAACGTTAATAAAAGAAAGAAATATTTATTTGGTAGATAAGAAAAAAAACATAAAATAATAAAATATACAATTAAAATTTATAAATCAATGCACAAAAAATTTTTGCGATTTCTGGTCTTAAATAAATGGCACAAATTTTTTGTTATTCACTGATAATAAGAAGAAATTTTTTTCATGACGTGTAGATTGCTGTAAGCCCGGCTTTGACAGCTTCGCCGGAAGAGATTATAAGAATAGCGTGGTCAAACCTCTTAGGGAGCGTCGTTGTGAAATGGTTAACCAATTTAGTAGTGACCGAAAGACGATACATGGTCAAATTTGCGAAAATTGAAAACAAATCGAATGAACAACAAAATCATTTCACTTGTTAAATAAAATTCGTGGTATCAATCAAATTGCTTTTTCGAAGAAAATTTCCTCCTCGGCATTTGCTTTTTTTTTTTAAACA